CTGGTAGCATCACCTGCTGATGTCTCTGAGCTGTGTTCCTCACTGAGCATTGCCTTTGGCTGTAGGGAGCCGTCTTGCCTGAGAATATGCCCCTTTGTGGGGTGGGGTAGACTGTAACCAATGACTGGTTGATGTTGGAAACTTGCTTCAATTTGGGACTACTCTGCAGGGCCGTCCCAGGTCCAGAACTCCCCATAGAACCAGCAGAGGCCTTGGGTACCACCACCTGTGGGCCAGCTTCTTCCTGGGGCCCGTCTGTCTCCCAAGAGGATTCCTCAGGAAACTTTCTGCATGCGATTCTCCTGCTCAAACTCTATTTCCAGAAAACCTGACCTATGATGGGGACAACTGGGACTTTTTTTTGTTTGTTTTTAATTTAGGAGTGGCAGAATGAGAGCTGTGACTTAGGGAGATCATCTTGGCAGAACTGCATATCCTAAGTTGGAGGATGACAGCACAGAGGTGGGAAGATTATTTGGGATGCCATCACATTAGAGCCAAGGAGGAGGAAGAAACGACCTGAAGCAGGATCATGGCAGGAAAATGAGGAGGAGGAGAATGGACAAAAAAATTAGAGCTAGAATTGGCAGAAGAGGGCAGCGAGCTGAATAGAGGCTGTGAGGTAGCTAATTTGCAGCACGATTCCATGAGATTCTGGAATTGGAATGTGCTTGCCAACCAAGGCAGCCACACACCTTGCCCTCTGCTGTGGGGCCTGGCACTAGGTCCAGGCAAGTACTCAGCAGCCTGGCTGCAGCACATCAGCTGAGAGGCCACCCTGAGTTCTGCCAAGAGGCTGTGGGGAAGCTAGAGGTCTTTCTGCTGATTCCCTGGCGTCGCTACAGTTTCTTCTTCAACCAAGCCCACAGCTAATGCTGCCAGTGTCAGGATGACAGCTCTAAAGGGCAGAGAAGACCTGGGGCAGGGGTCTATTGAGAGGAAAATCTGAAGAAGCTTTGCATTAGGCTGGCTAGTTCTGTGTAGGCCAGGAAAGCATTGCCTGGTGGATGGGATTTGAGAGGGAGCATCGTTCAAGGACCTGCTTTGTGATGAAACTGCTCTGGTCTAGCAGGGCCGTCTTCTGTGAAAGTTTAGGTGCTGTCTCAGGGAAAGCTTTTGCTTACTAACCTTCCCAGCTCCTCGACTCTTTGTCTCACTTTCTTCACAATGGCATAGCTTGGGAAGTGGATTTGAAGCCCTGTGGAATCCCACGGTCCCTCTGGAGTCTCTGACTTTGAGTGGCTACTGGAGTTCTGGCACAGGCCTTAGATACATTTCCCCAGAGGTCTGGGGTGGACTCCAGGGACAGCTAAAACACCTTTGGCCAAAACAGACGCATAGTGAGGGCGCATCCCAGGCACTGAACCAACAGAAAGGCGGCCCTAGAATGGTCTAGCGCAGTGATGCCCAAAGCTGCCTGTGCATCAGTGTCCTTTTAAAATCATTTAGAACTAGAGGCCTGTGCGCTGCCCCTATCCACTGAATCGGAATCTCTGAGGCTGAGTGGAGATTTGTCTTTTTAAAGCTCCCCAGGTGGTGCTAATGTGCAGGCAGGGTTGGAATCCAAAATGCTTATTCCACAGCTGGGAGGTGGGCCCAGAAAGGTGAGTCACCAAGGCAGGCCGAGCCAGGCCTGGAACCCAAGGCTTCCGGGACCCAGTCCAACCTGACATTCCCCCTGCTGACTGTCAGGCTTCCCTGGACATGGACTGCACTGCTCAGCCCCAGGCTCCCTCATGCCCTCCTGACCTCACATGGATGCGCATGCTCTGCTCCTCCACGTGTTCATGGTGTGCCTGCTCTCGAACACGCTTTGTAGGGCGAAATAAGTGTTTGCTTCTTTCTCCGATTCCCTTGTCGAATCATGAGGCCAGTGAGGCTGTAGGCCACAACAAATCAAACTCGAACAGGCCCTAGCTGCTGAACAAGGGCTGCAGGTCCCACAGGATCCAGAGAAACATGCAAGTTGAATCTTCTTCAGAGTAGAAGGTAACATAGTATAGTGGGAAGAGAGTCGATTTTGGAATCTGTTAAATCAGCTTTGGAATCAGTTTTTGAGTCTGAGCTTCAGTGCCCTCATCTGTACAATGAGACTCACAGAGTTGCAGTGCTCCTCATGTGCGTTAATGTATGGGAAAGAACCTGATTTATTACAGGGGTGCTACAGTCAGGATAGGCTGGGCTTCTGCTGTAACAAACAACCCAAATCCCAGTGCCTAAAACGAGGCCCACTTCAGGTTGAAGAGAGTTCGAAGGGAGGACTCTGTTGGCAGTAGACACTTTGAGTCCCAAACTGCAGAATTTCCACTGTCACCTCAATATCGGGCTTCGGGTTCACAGTGACAGGAAAAGAGAACATGGAGACTCGTGCTGGCTCTAAATTATTCTCCCCCAGAATTGACAAACATCATTCCATTCACATTTCATTGGCCAAAGCAAGTCACAAGGATACATATAACTTTGAGGGATATGTGCTCAGAAGGAGAAGAGAATCAGAAATCTTGATGAGCACTCGCCATGCCCACATTGTGTCTGTCCTGGTGGCAGACCACTAGGTCGTCATCTTTCACAGCACATGGCTACGAACGGACAGTGAGCTGTTATGTGAACTCTTCTCCCTTCTGAGTCATTTGCCTTTCTTACAGTCAAATGCTGAAAAGAAACATTTTAGCATACATAAATGAGCAAAGAGAATGAAATTCCATGGTCAAGCCTTCCAGTTCCTTTCTTTCAGGGCTCGTAGCTCCCGTCATATTTCTAAATGGCTTATGCTTGTCAGCAATAGCACTTCCTCTGTAAACAATGGAATTTGAGGTATGACTTATAAAAGATATATCACTCTTCTATACATGCTTTTGACTTGGGTAGGGGGTTGTAAGTGTACATCCTGGGTCCCTGAGCAGTCATTTGCAAAGAGCTCCTCTCTCAGATGACTTCCTCTGGAAACACCTCCATCATTCTTACTGGAGGAGCCCTGGCTTTTGGGGGTGTCCCAGCCCTGTAGAAACCACTCAGGCATCAAGTCCACTGAAACTCTGGCACATTAAAACAAAATCAAAGCAGTCAGTGGGAAGAGGGGAGACAGATCCAGCTATTAAACCTCTCCCAGTTTACATAAAATTCTTCCTTATGAGTCAAAAGCACACCTGGAAGTTCTTTTTGTGACTGATTATAAATGCATATTCTATTCAGTGCCTACTGTAAATCAGGTTTTGTTCTAGGCTTTGGGATTCATCAACGAGTAAACTAATTTTCTGCTCTCATAGAGTTTAGAACCCGGAGAAAGAATAGAAAAGCAAACAAACCCATAAGTAAATAGTTCTACTTTAGGCAGAGTACATGATAAAGAAAATGATTCAAGGTAAGGAGAGAGAAGAGGCTGCAGGCAGGGGGAGGGAGAGTGCTATTTTAGAGAGTAGCCAGGAAAGGCTTTTCTGAGGAGGAGTCAGCTAATCAAGAGATGTGAATGAAGAGAAGAGGCTAGTAAGGCTGAGATGTAGCAGATCCACTCAGAGATGTGAGGGGTGTGTGTGTGTGTGTGTGTGTGTGTGTGTGTGTGTGTGTAGTAATGCCCGCAGGCAGGACAGGTAATACCAGTAATAAGTCCATCATATGTTTTGCAGGTTGATTGGTACATACTTGTGGTGCTAAGTACAGCACGCCATATAGACAGGGGTAACAGCAAGTGTAAATGCCCTGTGGCAGAAAGCAGCTTGTAAAGCAGGAAGTGTCCGTGACCCCTGCCTGCTGCAAGAGGAAGAGAGGGAGGGGAGGAAGGGCCGCATTAAGACTGGCCTTCTTGGCCATGGTAAGGGTCAAATTCTGATGCACCACCAAATAGCCCTCTCCAAAGCCCGCATTGATCTTCATCCCCCACAGCACCAGCCTGCTGTACAAAAGGGCCCAGTTGTGATAATCACTACAACTGGGGAGACGTTGGTCGTCATAGGCTCTGGGTGTCTGGGCAGGATAGAACTGAGCTCCCTGTGGCATTCACTAGCTCCCTAAGGCAATTTAGCATCACTCTGTGGCTGGCCTAGGAAGAAGGCAGATCCTCCTTTGTATTCTCCTCACTTCTCACTTGACACCACTACCCATCCTTACAATTTTAAGTGTTTTTGAATCCACTTTACTTCTGGGAAACTTCAGGGGCTCTTATGGAGCCCTGCTAAGAGCCGGAGGGAACTGAGAGAAAGGAGGCTCTCCCTTTTAGGAATGGATTGTGGGTTGCTGAGGTTCGGTAAGTGGGGAGCTCTGGACAGCCTCCAGCAAAAGACCTGCTCGTCAACCCTGAGGTGGAACGAGTTCAGAAAACAAACCATTTTTACCCCATTCATTCATGTCCACCGGCCGCTCCCTGAGCTCCATTGCCCTGGTAATTGTTTTTCTTGGCATTCCAGGGTAGTAGGTCACGTTAGATTCTTTTCTTTCAAATATTCTCCTGACATCAAAGTGGAAGGGATGTAAGGTAAAAAGAAATAAATCTGGGAGGATTTCGCATGTTTCACAACTGCTTTCATGTTCAGGATGTGCAGGAATGCCGGGGTGGGCACAGATTCTGTTATCTCCCCCAGTTCAAGGAAGGGTGGTTGGTGGGAGTGTGACGTCCAAATGCAGAAATGATCTGGATGATAGTAGGGCAGTAGGCTGCACGAAAGCAAGAGTCAAGGGCAAGGTTTTTCAAATTGAGATAGTGTACCGGATAACACACGGCTTAGATTGAGCAATAAAACATGAGAACTGCTGGGAGGCAGCTGGAGATGATAGCAAGAAGGTGGAGAGACAGGAATGAGGCGCCATTGCTTGATGTGTGCTCTTGGGAAGGGCATGTTCCCCTCCCAGAATCCACATTTTCTCACCTTTATAGTAGATTCTGTATGTAGTAGATACTTTCCAGGTCTTAGATCTTCCTGAATACTTGGGATCTGGGGACATTCATTCTACCCAAGCAGCACTTGGTTAGTCAAAGAATCAAAAGCAATTTCATTTTTATAACGTAGCTTGGTCCTTGGACTTCAGGAGTTTGCAGTCTGATGGAGGAGTTGGCATGAACATGTTATAGAGACTGCAGAAGTCTCAACCAGTGCAAAGTGAAGACGCACCTGAAGTCTTCAGTAGAGAAGGGTCTTAAAGAGGGCTTCCCTGGGGTAAGCTCTAGAGAATCTGGGAAGACTCAACTGACTAAGACTTTTAAAAGCAGGAGTCACTAATGCTGGTGGAGAGAAGGCTGGTGAACAGCCAGGCTCTAGCAATTGGAGATTAGAGACTGTATTGCTTCACATCTGTTTTACTGAATGACCCCATTATTACACTGGGTACACAAGGCCCAAAACAAGTTTAATTTTTTAAAATACTGCTTCCTGACTCCTTCCTTTCAGTGAAATTTGTATACTCCTTTTTATTATAGTGCAGTATACCTCAGGAAATTTCAAAATGGTTAAACACTTTCACTCAAAAGTTCTACTTTTAGAATGCATTCTAAGAAAATAATCAGGGCTATCAATTGCTATTCATTGAGCTCTATGTCTGGGCATGACCGAAACAATTTATCAATATAATTTTGCTCTCACAATAACTCCATAAGGAAGATTTATTATCACTTTATCTATGTGGGAGAAAAATGAGATCTAGAAAAATTTAGCAAATGTGCTTCAAATTATATCCAGCAAGTGGTATAGACAGGATTTGAATCCAGGTCTGAATGAGTCAAAAGCCTATTTTCAGTCTCCAGAATTTTCTTTCACTTTAGGGAGAGGCACAATGATGTACGTACAAGAATTAATTAAACCAATTATAGTTTATTCATGTTGGATATTGTGAAGACATGAAAAATGATGCCGTAGAACACTTCATCGCCGTGGAAAATTATTTATCATGTGTTAAGTAGAAATGTTATGATGTATTGTGTATAACAGGAGCCCAATTTTATAAAAAGGCATGCTAATGCTTAGGTACTAATCAAATAAAATGTTGATATTTTATGCACTATATTGAGATTGGGAAGGTTTTTATTTTCTTGTTAATGTATTTTGTAGTTTCAAAATTTTCTTTAAAAAAGACATTGCTTTTTTAATGAGAAAAAAATAAGAAAAGACACAAATAGTTTGCTTTTAATCATAAAAATTAATGCCTGGTCAAAATTTTAGAAACTACCTAATAGAAAAAGTAAGGAAGCAGGCCGGGCATGGTGGCTCATGCCTGTCATCCCAGCGCTTTGGGAGGCTGAGGCTGGCAGGTCACCTGAGGTCAGGAGTTCAAGACCAGCCTGGCCAACATAGTGAAATCCCATCTCTACTAAAATACAAAAATACAAAAATACTAAAAATACAAAAATTAACTGGGCATAATGGTGCACTCCTGTGATACCAGCTCCTCGGGAGGCTGAGGCAGGAGAATCACTTGAACCTGGGAGGTGGAGGTTGCAGTGAGCCGAGATTGTGCCACTGCACTCCAGCCTGTGAGATGGAGCCAGACTCCGTCTCAAAAAAAAAAAAAAAAAAAAAAAAGTAAGGAAACAGTTATCCTAATTCCTCTATGCAGCTGCCCAGGGATAGCTGGATAGCTATGTTGGCATATTTCATTTCAGTCTTTCATCTGCGCACGATCTGTTTATTGGTTTTTTTACATAGCTGTACTTAGATTGAGATGTGAACTTTGTTGTTTTAGTGACAAACTGGAGCCAGGAAATTTCCTTGTTTCTGCTTTCCTTACTTGACAGTACAGTCTTTAAAGGCAGGATGATTTTTTTTTTGTTCGTTTTTATTTGCAGCCCATAGTTCAGTGCCTGGAACCTTGTAGATGCTCAATAAATACTTGTGGAATGACGGCATGGTGGGGTAGGGGAGGGAGAGGCTATAAAGTTCTGCATAATCTGACCAGAAGTTTTGCACCGGAAGATTTTGGAGAGCAGGCCGGTGAGACAGGGCAGGCAAGATGGGGGGGCCATCGGGGAGGACCGTAATGCTCATGGTTAGAAACTGAGAGCTGACATATGAGGCCGCTGGGACTCACTCTGGTCTTCCAAGCGGGGATGTTACATGATCAAAACCGTGGAACGGAAAGGCGATTCTGGCAGCTGTGCTGTGGATGGCTGGGTCAGGGGGGCCGCAGAGGGGACAGTGCTGAATGCAGGGAGGTAGGGAGGCAGGGAGGTAGAGAGGCCGTCCTCGCTCCTTGCAGCCAACGGACGCTTGCACTAATCCCTGCCCGGAGAGGCTGGGCTTGGACCGGGGCTGCGAGCGCGCACACCGAGAGAAGCAAAACTCAGCTCTGCTTCCAGGGCCAGGCGGGGACCAAGCGAGGCCGAGGAGGGATCAGAGTCAAAGACAATGGGGGACGGGGCTGAGAGCTTCTGAGGCTGCGGGTGCCCGCAGCCGGGAGAACCCCCTCCCCACCCCCCCATCTCTTTTGGCTTTTCGGTTGCCTGGGTGTACAGAGGAACAAATTTGTGGTGTGGAAGGATTCCAGGCCAGTCATCTATCATGCACAGTGAATACTCGCTAGGCGCTCATCACACGCTCGGCGGCCTCACCCTCTCCAAGAGCGCTCTGGCGGCGGTCCAGGGGCTGCCCAAGGTGACTTGCCAGATTCTCCCTTGAACTTCGCTCTCTTCCTTGCTCTAGTCCTAGTTTTCTTCTAATTCAGAAAAAGCAACAACAAACCGTTCCCAGCCCCTCCCATCCTTGGCCGTCCCTCCCATCCCTGGCCGTCCCTCCCATCCCTGGCCGTCCCTCCCTGCGGTTTGGCGGAGAAAGCGCCTCCGCAGTCCCTGAGAAGATTAGCTAACGCCGAGTGCGCGGGGCGAGCGGGAGCCAGTGGGGCTGGGCGTGGGGCGCCCCCGAGAGCTCTGCCCGCTGCGCCCGCCCTCCGCGGGGGGCCCCTCCGTGCGCCCCAGGCCCAGGCTGCCTGCGGTCCCGGGGGAGCAGCGAGTTAGCCAGGCTCAGGGTCCTCGCCCGTCAAAGGTGAGCGACAGGCCACAACCCACTTATTGGTTTGTCGTCCAACTCTAACGCAGAAACACTCATTTATTCCGTAGTTGTATTTAGTATTATTAACCGTTAGTGTTAGTGTGTGCACAAGCACTACCTTTAAGCTAATAGAAGGAATCCAACTGGCGATTTTCCTCCTTGAAATGCTGCCTCACCCTGACAATGGTCTCGTGTGCTCATGTTTTAAAATGTTTTATGATGGTGTTTTGTACTGATTATTTGTGCAGTATTATGAACCTACAGGAAGAAAACGTTTTAAGAAGCAATGACTGGCCGGGCGCGGTGGCTCACGCCTGTATTCCCAGCACTTTGGGAGGCTGAGGCGGGCGGATCACCTGAGGTCGGGAGTTCCAGACCAGCCTGACCAACATGGAGAAACCCCGTCTCTATTAAAAATACAAAAATTAGCCGGGCGTGGTGGCACGTGCCTGTAATCCCAGCTACTCGGGAGGCTGAGGCAGGAGAATCGCTTGAGCCGAGATCATGCCATTGTACTCCAGCCTGGGCAACAAGAGCAAAACTCGGGAAAAAAAAAAAAAAAAAAGCAATGACATTCACAACACGATTTAAAAGAAAAGCCTCCAAAATGAGAAATCCTTGCCTAATATAGACTTATAAAATTTGGCTCATTAGAGACATACAGGACAGATGAAGAACGGGGATATAATACCAAGCATATGTGAATATAAGACAAGGGGCTGCAGGCAGAGCCACGTTTCAAGAACACCACGACCACTCCTTCCATGCCGCTATGGAATGATTGGAAAGTAACCAGGTTAGGTCTTACTTAGAGGAATTGTCCTTTGCTCCCTCCACACCTGTGTCTATTTGGAAGCACCCATTGCACAGACCTGAAATTTCTGCTTTCCTTGGCCAAGTTTGCTGGCACTAAGCAGTCTTGTACCACTGGGACGACAGAAAGTACCAGAGACCGTGGGATTACTAAATGGACTGGTGGGCGTGGCCAGCAATTACAGTGGGATGGGAAGAATTGAGTGTGGAAGTGGAAGTGGTTTTATTTATTTACTTATTTTTGTGTGAAAGCAAGTTTATTCCGAAAGTAAAGGAATAAAGAATGGCTACCCCATAGACAGAGCAGCGCAGAGTGGTTTAGGTGGATGGGGCAACAGGGTCTTTTACCTCAATGGTTGGCTCCCTTGCTTCTTTCCCAGAAACATTAATGGCTGCAGAATCCCATTAATTTCGTTAAGCACTATAAAGGTGAGAGTTTTGCTAGTGCAAAATCGACTCGAAAGGAAACAAGCTTTAAGTGTTGTCAAACTTATCTTGCAGTCAATTTGGGTGACTTCATTTTGGAAGGTGATTCACTTGTGAGAATTTTTAAAATATGTTTTTAATTCCCCTCCCGGAGGGCTAGTGGAAGTTACCCATGATGACTCTAAAGGCAGTTTACTGTCAGATGATTTCAGCCCAGGGGATCAGTCTTAAAAGACCCAACATGAAACCTGCTGTCAGTACTTCCAGTAACTCGAAAATCCACCGGATTGATCTCCCAGTAGATGGGTTTTCTCACCTGCGAAACCAACACGACCATGTCTGGCCTTTGTGCATCTCTCAGGGTAAAGAAAAATAGCAACTTATAAAATTTCCCACAGGGAGCTTAGTGAAGGGACCATGCCAAGTCTGGGATCTGTGTGCTTGGGCCCTGCTGGTGACTGACATCCAGGCAGGGGAGAGATGATGCCACTCCTCCCTCCCAGGTGGACAAGTCTGAAGACAGACAGGCACAAAGCTGAATCGTGGCTCTTTAGAGTAAGTCAGTCAATTTGCTAAATGTAAATATCATCTTTTAAATAACACAAACTTGGAATAAGCCATTAAAATATTTTAAAACTTCAGAACACACAGGAACTCAGTTCCTGTCAAAACTACAATCTATGTTTTTATTGAAGAAAGATGTTCTTTCTAACAGTAATGCAAGGGTGTTAAAAAAAAAAGTGTTCACAGAAAAGTGAGTGGAAAGGAAAACATTTACTCTAAGCTCTACTTCTGAAAGTTTAACCGTTGTTCACTTTGTGTGAACTACATAATATACAAAAGTGCTAGGATGATGCAAAACCTCATGAGCATGGTCTTTAAACAAAGGCTGAATACAAGACGTCGTTTAGCTTTGCCTTGTGGAGGTTGGAATAATTTGGGTGTCCCTGTGGAGGCAGCAGCCTCCAGGGAGCAAGGTTGATTCTCTGGTCTCTGCTCGCCGCCCGCAAAGAAAAAGCGGTGCACTGAGTTCCGTTTCTTAAGGTCGCTGACACTTAAAAAGGGAACACAAGTGTCTGGAAAATGTCAGTTACCGTATTTAAGTGCATGTGGGCATCAGGAGGTAACCAAGACTTTGAACATCCATGCCTTGATTTAGCTCAGCTGGGGACAGAGATGGTGGGACGATACCCTGGAAGTCCTGGCTAGTGATTGGAGCACCCTGCAGCACCCTGTGAAACAGATGAGGCTGAGCTGGGTTCCTGGAGAAGTTAGGGATACATACTTATCGCAGAAATGTGTCCTCCAAGATCTCAAGAGTACATTTTAGGCTTGGGGTCTGCCTGGAGGCGGAAGTGCTGCTGGGGCCTGTGGCATGCGTGAGTCAGCGGCTTGGCTTCCGTGAGGTACTTCGGGGCCACACTAGCAGTTAGAGAAACAACTGAGATGGATTTGGGAATGGCAATAATTCCTGAGAGCTGCCTTACAAATTACTCAATGAAACCTGGAGGGAAAAATCAGTATCAGGTAAGAATGTTCAACACACTGTGGACCAGACATGGACAGGGCTAAGAGGGGTTCTTTCAGGGGCTGTTTAGGACACTCCAGGAATCTCAGCCAGTGCATCCCATCCTGCTCTATGGCCACAGCTTGGAAAGAGCTACTGCAACCTAGGAAGTTTCACTTGTTCTGCTTACAATTCCAGGCTGAGAGCTGACAGATTTCACATAAGAGTGGAAAACACCACTTATCTGGCCCTAAACCTCCAAATTACCAGCCAGCCCC